TATTTTAAAAAAAAAATCTTATCTGGCTGTGCCGGGTCTTAGTTGTGAGATGCGGGATCTTTAGTTGTGGCATGTGGTATCTAGTTCCCTGACCAGGTATTGACCCGGGCCCACTGCATTAGGAGCGTGGAGTCTTAGCCACTGGATCACCGGTAAGGCTATTTTAAAAAGTGACCTCTAGGCTTTAAAAAGAAAAAGCGTTTTCAGTACCACTGATCATCTTTTATCTTTGAAGATAAGCAGCTGACAACTTCTTGGAGGACTGTGTTCTTTTAACCATACCAGTATATAACTGGTGAATGTTACTGACAGTTCAAAGTGCATCTTTACTCAAATTAGGAAGGTTTTCAATAGCCACTGAAAGTATTATGCTAGGTCATCAATAAGGGATCAATAAAAGAACTTCTAAAAGTTATTCATACATGTAATTTAATAAAATAAATCTACCAAAAAAGAAAACAAGGACTTAGCCCTGAGGTTTAAAAGAGTTAATCAGTAGAGGTACAAGTCAGGTGAATTTGCCTCTAGCAACATGAAAGTGTGATAGGGACAATCCAGTTTTATAATTGACAGGGCACATCAAAGGGAACAGTGAAGCAAGCACTCAAGACTGATAGGGAGATCAGAAGGGAGCTCACGTTTTTCACCTTTGGGGAGGCTAAATAGTCTGTTTCTGTTTGGTAACAGCTTTACAAAAGCAGATAAAGGGAGAAGAAGTAAAGCTTTTCTCTCTGGTTTATTTACTCATTTGCATTTCTAATGATAAATTCAAACGAGGCTGTTTGTATTTGCAACCAACAGGAGAAAAAATCCTAATTGGAAAACAAAATTAAAATTTTCAAGGACGGACAAAAATTTATGGGATATTCATCAAATAAAATTATTACCCAGCAAATATAAAGAGAATAAACTACTGTTAAGACATGTGGGTCAATCTCTAAAACATGCTTAAAAAAAAGACAATTGGGTGCATAATATGATTCCATTTATGTGGAGTTCAAAAATGGGCAAAACTGGGACTTCCCCAGTGGTCCAGTGGTTAAAACTCTGCTCTTCCACTGCAGGGGGTGCTGGTTCCATCCCTGGTCTGGGAAGAACTAAGATCCCACATGCCACAAGGTGAGGCCAAAAAAAAAAACCAGGCAAAACTAATCTCTGGCAGAACCGTGATTGCCTTGGCAGGAGGAAGGGGGGATGGATTGGAAACAGGCAGAAAGAAACTTTCTGTAGTGATGAAAATGTTCTATATGTTGATGGGGGTGTTTACATAATTGTATACACTTGACAGACTCGTTGTAAACTTGAGATCTGTGCATTTCACTGTATGCAAGCTTTATCTTAATTAAAAAAACACTCTTTGTGTACACTTTGTTTGCTGGACCTTCTTTAAAATACTAATTACTCCTACGAACCTAATCCTTTCAAAATTGCTTTCTCACCCTAAAACTTAGTGTATTTGCCAGGGAAATAGCAAAGATGGTGGAGATTGCTTTTGTTCTAAGTAACTTGTGTAGTTTGTAAGCAAACAAAGTCCTTTAGGAGGATTGTACTACTCAATTCAGAGGGGTGAAATCTCAACCTGAATATAATCACAAATAAGGGTGCAAAGCAAGTTCAGTATATGTTTTCTTCCATTATGCCCTCTCTAGCTAATCTATTTTGCCAGTAGACATATTATCAGTAGCCTCACTCTTCTCTAAACTCAAAGAATACAACTTATTTCATTGTAATTTGGCCATCATTTATTCTAGACTGGGAGATACATTTCTTCACTACAAAGCTACAACATCCAGGGTACTGATGCTATTTTTCTGCTTTAAGATGCATTGATAGAGAGAACTTGTGTATCTGAAACTGGTTCCACAGACCATGAAGTGTAAAATCTTGTACACACTGCAGTACTGTGCCTATGTGTGGTCTGATGCCCAAACACGACATTGAGGACTGTAGAGAAAACAGGTTCACTCAGAGTATGATACAATACAGGTGATATAAAGAGACAAATCCTTCAAAAGGGAAGATGACAATTTTTATTGTTATTACAAAAGCAAATTTTTTTAACTTCAGTCATTTGAATAATTGCAAGAGCAGACTAAGGGCTTAATCCTCACACAGGCACCAAGTCAGGCACAGTAGGTAGCTACAAATCATAAGAAAAAGGTTTCTTTACCTTGGATTCCTGTAATTCCTACCTAGAGCACTCTGCCATGCTTTGGAATTAGTTAAAAACCCAGCAAACCTAATCAGTTCCCTTTAATTCTGCTTTTTAAAAAATGAGAGCTAGGTATTAACCTGCTGTCTAGTGAAAACTAGTCACTAAATCCTGGCCTGAGAGAGAGCCACATTTGTTTTAGAGCAAAGAGAAGAAAGTAGTTAACTAAGAGGTGTGTCAATTTCTGAGAGCCCCATGTGAGTCCTTAAGATATAGACCTTCTGGACTCAGACCTCAGTTTCACCTAATGCATGTGGATGGTCACCTGAGGAGTGCAGGAGCTCCAGCTCCAGCACAGACACTCTTTCCGGAGAAGCAGGGAAGGAGGTAGCAGGGACTTGGGCTGACATCTGAAGCACTAAGGTAATGTGCCTGGCAGAGGGTAGCCTCAGGAAGCACAAAATGTAATTCTACCTTTGCTGTCCACAAACCTGAGGTTTAAAGGGCACAGTGGCATGTGTGGCAAGGCAGAAAAGACAATTACCATTCTGAGAATTGATGAAGAAATCCTGCCTAATTTTCTGCCTAATCAGACATGGTGCCTATCTGCTTCTCCCTTATTTTGGAGAACACTCCCAACACTCCCACACCTCCAGGCCCTTAAAACATTTCTTAGTAAACAACTCAGCTAGCATATTACTGTTTCAAGGAAGCATAGGATTAGAGGTATGTGAAAAGTGTATTTACTGAAAGGAAGACTCAATATGTTCTAGCATATTGAAAATTAAGAATATCCTAGAGCCAAAACCATCACAAGTTGAACCAAATTTACCCTACCTGAAATTTGGCAGTAAACTGGTTCAAATGGAATCCACTGAACTACAGGAAAATAACACTTCCTATTCCATTTACTATGAAATCTAATATAACCAACTGACTGCTAAAGTTAAACCTACTAGGTTTTTGAACTCAAAGTTGTGCATGTGTAATTACATTTATATAACAAGTTGCTGCCATGGCAAGATTTCTAGAGAAAGAAACAAGATCATAAATGTATTAGATGGCATCTGTTATAATCACTGAAAAATTAGCTGGAGGAAATATAAGCCATATTATTTGGAGACAGAAAATCGTCCCCTAAATTCTGTTGATTGCTATCTACCTTACGTGTATATGTCTGTGAGAGGATTAATGGCACAGTTTATTCTGATAAGATAGGCCAACGCTGAAAATTTAGTCATCCTACAGTCAGAGCTATAGTGCTGTTACCAGAATTTTCACAAAGGGTTTTTAAAAGCTGAAAGTTGCGTGACGTTAAGAGCTACAATAAAAACTGTCCCTTGGCTACCTTAAATTCCTACCCAAATCAGTGAAGCTGTCATCCACGAAGCAGCGGTCCACAAGGAAGTCCATGCCAATGAGGAAAGGTGCTAGAGTGCTGTCATGTGGAACAGCCATCAAAGACCACGGAGTAATTACAGTCACAACTAGTGTTTTCTGAAGATTGCCAGGGAGTTTAGTTGATTTTTTTAAAAAATTCATCATGGAAGCCGTTTTCGACCATAAGTTCACCTTTTTCTTGGGTTGCAAAACTGCGGCTGGTTGAAAGTATGACCCAGAATATCTGCAGTACTTCAGCTGAGGATGCCTGTAACTGTTCAGTTGCATCACGTTCAAAGTCCATCCCATATTGTAAAAGCAGTTCTTGTAGTTTATGTAACTAGCAGACAAGTATGAATTACCTCTTGTTACAGTGAACAACCTGTATCCTTTTATAATTTTCAAAACTTTTACATTCAATTATCACATATTTCAATTCAAAACAAATATACATGGGCTTATTTACCCAAGAACACTTTACTATTTGTCACTTAGTTTCATGGCATTATATACTCAGTCCATCTCTTTTGGTTTGATTTTACATAATTTTCATTGGATAAGTTCTGTTTGCAAATTAAAAACAAGAAGCAAATGCTGTATCTCCCCTTCTCCCACAGTAAGAAATAGGATTTAAAATGGCCATTACTTAGATGTTTATTTCAGTATCTTTCTTAAATTCATTTCATTAATTTAAAAAACTATAATTAAATAATATATCATGAAAGCTGTATAAAGAACATCATTAATGCAAAGAAAATTGTGATTCTAACATGTCTATGCTAAAGAGGAAAAAAATGTTTAGGTCTGTAATATCCTAAGTCTACAGCCAATTACCCTATTTTTGCCTTGTCAACAATGTAAACACGTTTGTACTTACAGAAGACAAAATGACAGCGTAGGAATCTGTATTGCTTTTTAAAGGTCCAACATCTCCACACACTGCCAGTTCACTTCAGACATTATATTTGCCCATCCAAGTAACCAGGCAGTGTAATGAGTTTAAAATGCATCAAGTTTAAGTGAGCATTCTTCCCAAAGAACTTAAAAGCCCACAAAAATGTATGGTGTTGGTTAAATTAACAATGAGGTTTCTTCTAAATAATCTTACTTGCATAAATGTACAAGAATCCATTGAAATTTTTATTTCATAATTATCTTTTTTTTTTTAGAGGTAGGCCCTTCACAGTTGATATCCATGTCATTTTACTTGAGTCTTGGCAACATACACATAATATCCTAAAAGTGTAAATGTTTTAATAGCAAACATAACTGTTTTTTTAAAAATGTGTTCAGTTTAAAAATGGAAATCTATCTCTGGAATTAATTTCAATGACTCTTGAGCTTTTAAAGATTCATTAAAATCCAAGCAATTGCTAGTATTTTGTTCTTAATAACTTGGAAGTAGAAAAAGAGTTACTATGCACTGATTAAAGCTCCCACATATCCCAGAAAAATAAAAGCCCAGAGATTTGCAGACATAATAAATTTTATTTAAATTTCATGCAGTTTTAATAGCCATGAGTATAGTTATAGGAAGCTGGAGGACAGTAACTATGCTCTGTCCATAAGATGTGGCCTCATTCATGAAATGAATGGGAATTTTACAGTTAAGAAAACAGGATTAGATTAATTTTTATGTTTTGTGACTGGAAATACAGTCTGACTAGGCTTTTCTTTTCTGAGGCAGATGATTACATGGAAGGGACATGTCATTAAATACACAATTACAAAGTATCTTATTTAGAGATAAACCAGTCTAAAAGAGGCCAAGTCTTTGATAAAGGGGGCATCCAATAAACCCAGAAAGTGTCCCCTCCATTTCCCATTATTCTCATTAAAAAATTTCAAAGTTGTGACACAGTTTTAACAGAAAGTCAGCCTTTGATCTAAAATCCACAATGCTGCATTGCGGTTCATCCAAATCGTAATTTAGCAAATTTAAAGAAAACAGTCAATTTCGAAAAAATTGAGAAAAACTTACACTGTGCTTGATTCTATTTATCACTGTTAACTTTAGTCTGTGCAGATTCTGATGGTTCTAAAAATATGTTCATTTAGTTGCTGGATGAGATTTAGCTTTAATCAGCAAGAATCATCCAGCCTTTAAAATTACTAATGCAAACAATAAACTGAGTAATTTGTAGAACTGGCACTTGCAGTTGATACAGTTTTCATATTAGATGCATGCAGCTCTTATAAATACTAAAGGAGGCATTTCTGCCACGTCTCAACATGCTGTCTTTATTGTAAATTCCATTAATTTAACAAGTTAATGGAATTTTTTGTAGGGGTACAATTTTATTATGCTTTATACTTATAAAAACTACAGTATGCTGTTCTTGTATTTTAAAACCACTTACTGTGTTTAAGAAATCATGTTAAAATATAAATTGGCAGAAACTGGTAGACCTAATAAAGCAGTGTCACAGTTGCATAAAGATATTGTATGTATGCATTAACCATCAAAAGAATGGGGTCAAACTAATTCTTTCTTTTAATACAAACTTGAACATTGTTTGTAAATGCCTCATTTAAAGTAGTGGATAAGGAAAGTTTAGAAAAGTCCAAGTAATAAAATGTACTCAATTACTTGGTAAAGTTAAAAAGCTAATGCAACAGTGTTACATCCAGATAAAAAACATTATTCAAAAGCAATTCAAATACCGAAAAGGGTTTCAAATTGAATATTTTATTAACATGGTAGTTGTCTTTGTAACATGTGCACACACACTCGCACACTCAGAATGATCTGCCTGGGGGAAAAAAAGACTAAGTATGCCTAAGGGAAATGAAAAATTAAAAAATTCCTGGTAGGTTTTCATTATTGTAGGCAATTATGTCCACATCACTTACAAAGCTATTGCCAAATCTGTCCAAGGAAGCAGAGTTTGAGAGGGGAAGAAAAAAATCTTGGGAAAAATTCAACAGTGGCATAGCAGAGCTCTCAATATGAGAAAGCTGACATAATGTGGACTTTTGCTGTGAATTTTTGTCTTTGCAAAACATGGGGAGAGGTTTGTCAATGGGCAGAAAATAAGAGTAGGCGGTGTGAAGTAGGCTTTTGCAGTCAGTTTTCCTCACAGTATTGTGCAGGGTCATCAAGAAAATGCTTAGTCTTTCTCAGGAACCAGTTTCAGAACTTTTCCAATTGCAATGGTCTTACCTAGAAATGAAATTTTTAAAAAACCTTTTCAGTAGTTAACAGCAAGGCTATGTAAGATATTAAAATTTATTATTTTAAATCATATTTTAAATCATTATTTTACAATGTAAATGACTAATTAACTGGCTTTACCATCAAAGACATGATTTCTGATTAATGGAGGGGAACTGAAGATATGATTTTCTTTCAAAAATCTATGCTTGGAGAAGTAAAATGTGGATATCCGTACAATGGAATACTATTTGGCAATAAAAAGGAATGAATTACATACAGTACAAGCCACAACATGACTGAAGCTCAAAAACATGCTGAGTAAAATAAACTAGACACTAAATGCCACAAACTATATGATTCTATTTTCTATGTCGTGTCCCAAAAAAGGCAAACAGAGAGAAAAAGTAGATTTATGGTTGCCTAAGGCTAGGGGTGGGAATAGGTGGTGACTTTGTAAACAGGTATTAGGGTTCCTTTTTAGATGTTCTAGATGTTATAAAATTAGAATGCGGGGATGACTGTACAACTCTGTAAACATATAATTCACTGAATTGTATACTTAAAACAGGTCAATTTCATGGTATGTAAATTATCTCATTAAAAGCTGTTAAACAGGGCTCTCAGTCCTATTATAAGAGATACAAAACCCATGTAGATCTTGTGAAAAACCTAAAAGCCAACTACTCTTTAGAAAGAAAAAAAATTCTGGGGTTAAAGATTCTTGCTACATTAATTTCTTCTGCCTGATTTTATCAGGTAACTAAAATTCTCGTTTTGTTATATTAATGGGACAAACCCAGTAACCAGTTTCACCAAGAAGAGTTTTAAGATAATGACTTCAAATGGATACCACCTTTATACAGATTTCTCCAAAATAAGGCTCAGGGACCATATTCATCATATTCCCAGTGCTTGGCATGGCTCCTGCCATGCAGTAGATATACAGTAAAGTTACTGCTGAATGAACTGGAACTAATATGTGAACTGACTATTCTATATTTCAAGTGAGCCATGAAGTTTTATGTAAAGTTTTCCATAGTCTTAAAAGTTATCTAAGTTAATATAATAATCTATAGAGAAATGTCATTTTGTTTCCATAATACCAGAGTTTCATGGCTGTGAGATAAGAAAATTACAGCTGTTCCAATCCACTCAGGTAGGCAGAAATGGACACACACACAAAAGAACATGAATATTAAACTTCTGAAATATTAGGTGTTAAGACTATCAATCTATGTACCCCTTTTATCTCCCCCCATTTCGATGTGGTTAATGTTTATCATATTTGATTTTAAAATGATTTCTTCTGAGCATAAAAAAAGATGTCTACCTCAGAGGCTTGCTTAGCAAAAATTTGCTCTACAGGATAGAGTCCTTCAAGATGAGGTTTTTTTTTTGTTTTTTTTTTTGCGGTATGCAGGCCTCTCACTGTTGTGGCCTCTCCCGTTGCGGAGCACAGGCTCCGGACGCGCAGGCTCCGCGGCCATGGCTCATGGGCCCAGCCACTCCGCGGCATGTGGGATCCTCCCGGACCAGGGCACGAACCCGTGTCCCCTGCATCGGCAGGTGGACTCTCAACCACTGCGCCACCAGGGAAGCCCCAAGAAGAGTTTTAATCACACATATTACAGAGGATTTCATCATAGAAATGTCTTATTTAGTAATAAATGACTCTCAAAATCCACTGCTTGCAAAATATTAAAATTAAGATTATTCATCTAGAGCATCACTACTAAGATGTGTTGTCAAGTCTGTCTGCTGTTCAACTCATTCAACTCATAAAACATTTATTATATGAATATATTATAAAACAAGTATCCAAGTTTCCTATGAACTTGCAATGTGCGCTGCACTCAGATGAAGATTACCAAAGCTAAGCATCTTAGATATAACACTAGACATCAATTTAAAGGCTTACCCTCATCTCTTAAAGTAAAACGACCCATCTGAGGGAAGTCTTTAAAGGTCTCAAGGCAGATGGTTCCTGCTGTTCTCAAGCGGGCAATGCATACTTGATCTTGTTTCACAAAGCGGGGTCGAGTCTTACTTTTTTCTCCTGATTTTTTGTCTACCAAGCAGATTAAGGCCTATCCAACAAAAAAGGATGAGATTGGAATAATGTCAAATAAAAGAATCTTTAAACTAATACTAGAAGTGCAAATAAGAATACATCACTGTTGCTGATCAAAAATTATCAAGATGAAATGGTCTTAAAACAAAAACCTCAGTTATCTTAAAACTCACTGTTATTTCGACTTCTTCAATACAGGTATGGATATGCAGCACCGCATTATAACCTGGGCAGATGATGGACTTGTGCTCTATAATCACTATCTGTCAAACAAAAAAATTCACATCTTTATCCCTAGGTAAAAAAGAACTGAACGTGTAACTCACAATCTCAATAGGGCACCAACTTATTTTTGTGTTAGATCAGGTTGCCTTACCTCCAAGCATGAACTTTGATATCCTTACCTCACTGATCTTCTTGGCAAGCACACAAACTTTAAAGACACAGGCAGACTTTCTTCTCTGGGAAGGCTTTCCTCTATACTCCCCACCAAGGAATTAATCATTGCTGCTCACATGCTAGGTTTTTTCCTCCTAGATGTGAACTTATAGTTTTATCCATTTCCCAGTATCCAAGGTCCAAAGTTAACAACCTTGTATCTGACATCAAAATCTAACTTGATTAGTCATCGTATCTTAGAACTCAAAAATTCTGCGAGCTGCACCAATCACTTACTCTCATTGTCCTGGGGAGGTCAGGTTGCTAATAACATCGAGAAATTATGTGTGTTTTTCTGTCTGGAAAGTTATTTGCTCTGAATGAACAGACAAACCATGACTTCCACGGCAACTACTCTCTACTTAAAGTGAAAAACACTTTGAGCAAAATGTAAGTATCAATATATATTATCAACAGGAAATAAATAGGGAACTTACAAAGAATACTACCTACCCAGTACTTGTACCATCTTAAAGACTTTATGTGTATGAGATATACATCACAGTTGTGATCTCTATATATGGTTTATTCTATTTTAGTTCCCCTTCTGCACACAATGGCATGTCACCAATAATCAGGACAAAGGAGATTTAAATTCTAGTTTCATTTAGACAGTGAACATCATCATAATAATTACAAAAACTGGTTTACCTGGGCATCAAATGTGCGACCAGAATGACAAAGATTATTAGGATCACAAAGTATGAACCCTGGAAGAATCTCCTCCTCTTCAATTCCTTTCAGTCTGATTTTGAGGTTTTCACCTGGGGCTACAGAATCAGTTTCTACATCATCAGAAAGGATTCCAAGAACTTCCACGTTGTGCTTAAAAAGAAACCAAGATTGGGGATTTTTTGACACATTCACTGCATTATAGAATGGAAAATTATCTGTTTGCTGAAGACTTGCAAGTCACATTTTTCTGTGGTTGTTGATTAGCCAAAATAATTCTTTGAGTGTGAAACTTTATAACATTTGTATGACACGAACTTAATGAAAAAAATCATATCCTAGAAGTACAAACTGCCAGTTAGAAGATTTATCTGTCACATCCTAATAATTTCCAAATAGAACAAGTATAAAGTAACATTTGTCTTTTTTTACTTTTTCAAAATTACAACATTAAATCTAAAATTTGGATTTTAATTTTATGGATGTAATTTTTATTACTGTTAAATTCCAGGAGTTAACAGACATAGCTTCCATTACCTATCAATCCCCCAAACATCCAAAGAATGTACTTTTCTAAGGTTATTTGAATAGCTAAGCTTTAAAGCACATTGACTGTTTAATAGGTAGTTTCCTTTTGGGGTGATGAAAATGTTCTGGAACTAGACAGTGGTGACGGCTGCACAAAACTGTGAATGTACCTAAATGTCATTAAATGGTAAAATTTATATGTCTTTTACCACAATAATTTTTTTTTAAAGAGAATATAGATGGGGAAAAAAATGTTAAAAGCAATACTCACTAGTATTCCCTCATTTTATTCTACTTCTGCCCTTAGAGGTAATTCATATTTTTAAAACACATGGCAGAAAACAAACAAAATAAAGCCTTCAGGACAAAAATGAACTTTCTCATGATGGTGGACATACAGTAGAGAATCCAGAATCACTATATTCCATACGAGAATTCTACAAACTGTCACTTGCTAAACTCTAGTAGTTTCCCCATACACACACATACACAAATAATGGCTTTCTTTCCCAAAAGGCAGCTTATACCTTACTGATACCTATCTGTTGAAATTCATTCCAAGAACTGATAATATAGCCATATTTGCTAGCAAATTCTTTACAGTAATGGGATAAAGGGGTAGAAACTAGCAGTTCCACCATACACAACTAAACAAGTATTGTTTATACTTTTTGCCCAAATAATCCAGCATAATTAATTCCTCTCCCCAAATAAGGACTTTTATAGCTGAACAAAATAGAGCAAGTCTAATCTCTAATCCATACTTATGAAGTTAAGATTAAGACCAACAAAATTCTTAGTTTGTGAAAGGTATTAAGGATTTTACCTACTCTAAGTACCTCACATAAGTGGAGTCATACATGATTTATCTTTTTGTGTCTGGCATATTTCACTTAGTATAATGCCCTCCAGGTTCATCCATGTTGTAGCCTATGTTAGAATTTCCTTCCTTTTTAAGCTGAGGTAGTATTCTGTTGTACGTATACACCACATTTTGTTTGCTTATTCATCCATCAATGGACACTACAGGTTGCTTCCACGTTTTGGCTATTATGAATAATGCTGCTATGAACATCAGTTCTTTTAAAATTTACTTTTGGTTGCGTTGGATCTTTGTTGCTGTGCGCTGGCTTTCTCTAGTTGCGGCGAGTTGGGGCTACTCTTCATTGCAGTGTGCGAGCTTCTTCTTGTGGAACACGGGCTCTAGGTGCACGGGCTCTAGAGCGCAGGCTCAGTAGTTGTGGTGCACGGACTTAGTTGCTCCGCAGCATGTGGGATTTTCCTGGACCAGGGCTCGAACCCGTGTCCCTTGCATTGGCAGGCGGATTATTAACCACTGCGCCACCAGGGAAGTCCCTGAACATCAGTTATTCAAGGTCTGCTTCCAGTTCTTTAGGGTATATACCCAGATGTGGAACTGCTGGATCATGATTATTCTATTTTTAATTTTTTTGAAGAAATGCCATTATGTTTTCCACAGCAGCTGCACAATTTTACATTCCTGCCAACAGTGCACAAAGGTTCCAATTTCTCCACATCCTCACCGGCATTTGTTATTTTCTGGGGTTTTTGATAGTAGCCATCCAGATGGGTGTGAGGTCTCACTGTGGCTTTGATTTGCATTTTCCTAATGATTAGTGACATTAAGCATCTTTTCATGTGCTTTTTGGCCACTGTACATCTTTGTAGAAATGTCTATTTAAGTTCTTCACTCATTTTTTAGTCAGCTTGTTTTTTGTTTTTTTTTTTTTGCAGTACATGGGCCTCTCACTGTGTGGCCTCTCCCTTTGCGGAGCACAGGCTCCAGACGCGCAGGCCCAGCGGCCATGGCTCACGGGCCTAGCCACTCTGCTGCATGTGGGATCTTCCCGGACCGGGGCACGAACCCGTGTCCCCGGCATCAGCAGGTGGACTCTCAACCACTGCGCCACCAGGGAAGCCCAGCTTGTTTTCTTTTTGTTGTTGAGTTGTAGGAGTTCTTGATATATTATGGATAGTAACCCCATATCAGATTTATGATATACAATTTTTTACCCACATTCTGTAGGGTGCCTACCTATTAATTTTTAAATGTAAAATAGCCTGGCATCTACATCTTTTAAAACATTTCATTCTATTCCACTGAGACTCAGGGGACTAGTGAACTCAGTGAACAGAGTTTTTAAGGCTTGATTAACAACTGTAAGATATGCTACATTGACCTGCTTAGTCATTAGTATAAAGTGACAGCTTCTACAAGAACTAGTATATTAAGGCCCTTTACCTTTAGCTATAGCCCAGCTCTAGGTTCACTTGCCCATAATAAGTACTTTTCTTTTCTTTATTGTGATAAAATTTACCTTTTTAAACCATTTTACATTGTACAATTCAGTGGCATCTACGTTCACAATGGTGTACAACCATCACCAGCATCTGGCTCCAAAACACCTTCATCACCCCAAAAGAAAACTCTATACGCATTAAACAATCACTCCCCATTCTTCTTCCCCAAGCCCCTTGCTTCCATCTCCACAAGCAAACTCAACTTCTGTGACTGCTGAACAGACAAAATAGAGCAAGGATTCAAACTGACCATTATTTCCATTCATTTATCATTGACCTTCAAGTTGCAGAGAAACTTAGAAAAAAGATTCTATGATAGGATACTCTGATCTCCAAGGCATCAAGAAACCCCAAAGTAGGGCTTCCCTGGTGGCGCAGTGGTTGGGAGTCCACCTGCCGATGCGGGGGACACGGGTTCGTGCCCCGGTCTGGGAACACCCCACGTGCCACGGAGTGGCTGGGCCCGTGAGCCGTGGCCACTGAGCCTGTGCTCCGCAATGGGAGAGGCCACAGCAGTGAGAGGCCCGCGTACAGCGGAAAAAAAAAAAAAAAAAAAAAAGAAACCCCAATTATACCTAAACAGTACATTGACAATTACCTTTTGTAATTCACCGTGCCTGGAATAAGCATGGTAAAGAAATTCTCAGGGGACCTCCCTTGTGGCACAGTGGTTAAGAATCCACCTGCCAATGCAGGTTCAAGCCCTGGTCCAGGAAGATCCCACATGCCGCAGAGCAACTAAGCCCATGTGCCACAACTATTCAGCCTGCGCTCTAGAGCCCACGAGCCACAAATACTGAAGCCCATGTGCCTGGAGTCCGTGCTCCACAACAAAAGAAGCCACCATAGTGAGAAGCCTGCACACCGCAACAAGGAGTAGCCCCCGCTCGCCACAACTAGAGAAAGCCTGTGTGCAACAGCGAAGACCCAACACAGCCAAAAATAAATAAATTTATGAAAAAAAAAAAAAGAAATTCTCAGTTAAATCTTAACAAAGTCTCTATTTGGAGGTTCTGATGATTCAGGCCTGTTTTCCTACATAACTAATACCTCTAGATTGTTAGAGAAGTCCTCTGGAAAACAGGTAACAGTTTCTTAGTAACACGTCATGTGCAATTATTAGCAACTGAGCAGTCAGAAATAACACAAAGGAATAGCTTGATATTTTTGTATGTTACTTAATGAAACCCTCTCCAATAAGAAAGAGAGTTAGGAAAAGACCCATTTATGATAAAGGCAAATCCTCTTCTCCCAAAATAAATTAGGAACATAGGTTAGACACATTATTTTATAGTACCCAACATAACGATGTACAAAAAATAAAAGGAAGCTAATTATATCATGATTAAAGCTGAGTTTTCATCCCTGGCTCACTTACTAATCCAGTGTGTTTAATCACTTAAGCAAGTCATTTAAGCAAGTCACTTAATCACTTCAGATTTCTACTTCCTGTAAAATAATGGAGTTGGGCTTCCCTGGTGGCACAGTGGTTAAGAATCCGCCTGCCAATTCAGGGGACACAGGTTCAAGCCCTGGTCAAGGAAGATCCCACATGCCGTGGAGCAACTAAGCCTGTGTGCCACAACTACTGAGCATGTGCTCTAGAGCCCGCGCGCCACAACTACTGAGCCCACGTGCTACAACTACTGAAGCCCGCGTGCCTAGAGCCCGTGCTCCACAACAAGAGAAGCCACTGCAATGAGAAGCCTGCTCACTGTAACTAAGTAGCCCCTGCGCGCGGCAACGAAGACCCAATGCATTCAAAAATAAATAAATAAAAAAACAAAAACGGAGTTGAAGCTTTCATGATGATGAACCTTTTTTTTTTTCTTTGCGGTACGCGGGCCTCTCACTGCTGTGGCCTCTCCCGTTGCGGAGCACAGGCTCCGGACGCACAGGCTCAGCGGCCATGGCTCACGGGCCCAGCCGCTCCGCGGCATGTGGGATCTTCCCAGACCGGGGCACGAACCCGTGTCCCCTGCATCAGCAGGCGGACTCTCAACCACTGCACCACCAGGGAAGCCAGATGGTGCACCTTTTAACTCTAACATGGAGCTAATACTGTCCCTTCTCCATTTGTCAATAAATAACATCACATATTCTTGATTAAATTTTGTACTTGACATTAATAAAACATAATCCTGCATTTAAAAAGTTGTTTCTTTTAATGAAATCCCTAAGACTGAAAAGTTCTGGCTCCTTGCTAATATTTTCAAGAGAAAATTTAAATGAGCAAGAGCATTACTAATTCTTACCTTGTTTGGCATCATAACAAGCTGCTGACCTTTACAAATAGATCCTGATTCTAGCTTTCCCAGGACCACAGTGCCCATATCCTGTTTAAATTTAAAATGAAAAACCAAATGTCAGACTTCTATTACTACTCTACAGCAGTTCAACAACCCAAAGTGAAATCTTGCAGGGCTTACTCATAAAAGAAAATCTTTAGCTCAAGTGGTAGAATGCTTAGGATTAATCTCAAACACAGGTAAATACTCTATATCTGTGTCATAAGCATATGTATAATTATAATACTAAAAAAAAGGAGGCTTAGGATTTAAAAAGAAAGCACACTGCAGGAGACAGGGCAGAATTTTGTTTGAAGATCTGAATTATTTGTTCAAATTCAGGTTCTCTCAAAAATATCTGAGACTTTTCTCTCTTTTATAAAATTGGAAAAATACTTGTTCAAGAAATTTAACATGAAGCTAATCAAAGAATGAAGTCTTTGAGAAGGGCAAAATATTACATATTGATAGTGCAATACTTAAAAACCTAGTTAAAAATAGTGAAGCTTATTTTTTTAAAGATTAACATCCAGTTGGTTGGTGAGGCTATGGGAAAACTAGCACTCATATACTGCTTGCTGGTGGTCATGTAAGTTAGCACTGTATTCTGGAAGGCTGTTTGTCAGTATCCATCAACGTTAATACACAAACCCTTCCAGCAGTTTTACTTATAGGAGTCTCTCTAAAACTGATCATTGGCTCACTGGAAAATAGCTGAAATAAACTAAGTTTGTTGATTAAATTATGGTCTATCTATATCACTGAATAATATATAACCATTAAAAAAGAGACATCTATGTTATGTTGTTAAAGTTATTTCATAATTTAAAACAAAACAATTTATCACCTCCCATAAAACCCAAGTTCTTGAACATTTTGGGTACCTTGTACTTATCCACAATTGGCAGCCTGATTGGTCCATCAACTGATCTACTGAAGTTTGGCAAATTATCCAGATATGGAATAAATGGTAATCCACTGAGAACATAACAATATCCATTAAAGAGAGTCAACATAAATGTTAAAGTTTTAAGAAATTACATGACTCTAACTTTATACCAAAAAAAGTGGTTATAACAATATTTCCATTCTACCCATGTAGTCTTCTCATTCAACCTTTTTATTATCCAGTTCATTTCACTTATTCCTCAGAAAAATTAAAAAAAAAACAAAATAGCTCAATATAATGAAAAAGCTTCCCCATAAACTTATTTTATTAAAATTGAGAAAAGTATTTTATGGCAAATAGCCCACATGTAATAAAATGACTCCACTCTATTACTTAATTTTTATGGAGTTTTCCAGCTCTGAAATCAGGATTCTATAAAATATTAATAGTTTCCCCTTTAAAACTACAGTATATGGATTGGGAGGCTTAATATTGCCAAGATCGCAATGCTCCCCCCAAACCGATCTACAAATTCAATGAAATCCTTAGTAAAATCCCAGCTGCCTTTTGGCAGAAATTGATGAGCTGATCCTAATATTCATATGGAAATTCAAGGGACCCAGAACAGCCAAAATAATTTTGGGGAAAAAAATTCAAAGACTCACACTTCCCAATTTACACACTCATATAAAGCTAAAGTAATCAAGACTTTACCTTACAAAAAATTAATCCAAAATGAAACACTCCCCTAAGAGCTTCAATAGGCTTAAATGAAAATAACAGGGCTAACTCTTTATGACCAGATTAGGCAACACTTCCCTAGGCATGACACCAAAAGCACAATTAAGAAAAAAAATAAACTGGACTTCATCAAAATTAAGACCTTTTGTGCTTCAAAGGACACCATCAAGAAAGTAAAAAGACAGCCCACAGAATGGGAGAAAATACTTGTAAATCGCATATCTGATAAGGGACTTGTATCAGGTGAGTGAAGTACCCTTAACAACTCAATAACAAAAAGACAACCCAATTAAAAGACAAAGGTCATGGTATTTTTAATGCCAAGGTTACAGTCAATATTTTCTTAAATTACTTACTAAGACACAAACTTTTAAAAAGGTTACTTACATGTACCAAGGACAGAAATCTGATTGCTCTTTAAGATTTGCTCCAGTCAGTCCTGAGCAGGGCATGAAGTGAATGTCCTTTTTGGGATTGAAGCCAACTTTTTTCAAAAACGGCACTAGTTTCTCTTTACATTCTTCATATCTATTAATATTTATAAATAACTCAATTATAATGTAAAGCAACTGAACTCTAGTTTCAACACTACACAAATTAAGGTTTAGAAAAACCCCAGGGGAAAAAAAGCATACAGTAACAAAACCATCCTTTATTCCACTAACATGTCTATTAAAAAAAAAAAAAACAGTAAGACATCCAAACTTACCTCTCATTGCTCCAATTTACTGTTGGATCATCCATCTTATTAATAAGCACAATTAAGTGTTTTACACCTGCTGTCTTTGCCAACATTGCATGTTCTCTCGTCTGTCCTCCTTTTTCAAATCCAGTTTCGAACTCTCCTTTCCTGGCAGAGATTACCTATTCCAAGAAATTAAACAGTTTATTCTTACACATTCAGGTACACTCTTCTAGCAATAAAACATCTTTCCTTTTAGTTTTATTAGAAGCTTCTTCCAAGAAAATATAAATAAATTAGTTATAACATACATACTTTTGAACATCACAATGTCTAAATGCTTTAAGATTTTGGTAAATGTTTCTTGATTCCCAATTTTCCAAAATCTAGTATGCCTTTATATTTTAAAATTCTATGTATGTGATTTAGTGCTAGTACACTGACCACCCCCTGCCAAAAAAAAATTGCAAAATGACTGAAGACCTTAAAACGGATAATTTCTTATTCAGTTTTGTACCCACAGTACATTTATTGACTACAAAATGGATTAGGCTTGGCAGTCAGTGGACACTAATTTCTGGCACAGTAAGAGGTAATAAAGGGCAGAGAAAAACTGGAACATTTTCATGAGTAAATCAAATTATGAAGATTTATTGGGCAGATTAGAGAGACAAAAGTGAAAATTGTGACTATGTATATATTATAGTTCACTGTAACCTAAATTCTAGCTTTTAGAAGGTAAATTCAAATGTTTACATTTTAGGATTTCCCTGGTGGCGCAGTGGTTAAGAATCCGCCTGCCAATGCAGGGGACACAGGTTCAAGCCCTGGTCCGGGAAGATCCCATATGCCATGGAGCAACTAAGCCTGTGTGCCACAACTACTGAGCCTGCTCTCTAGAGCCCGCGAGCCACAACTACTGAGCCCATGTACCTAGAGCCCGTGCTCCTCAACAAGAGAAGCCACTGCAGTGAGAAGCCCACGCACCGCAACTAGAGAAAGCCTGCGTGCAGCAACGAAGGCCCAACGCAGCCAAAAAAAAAAAAAGTTTACATTTTAAGTTGGGCTGTTAACAAATACACAGATGAATTGGAAATGTCTTCCCTTACCAGTACAGCCAAATCTGCTTGAGAAGCACCACCAATCATATTTGGGACAAAACTCTTGTGGCCAGGGGCATCTAGAATTGTAAAATGCTTCTTTTCTGTTTCAAAATAGGCACGACCCACTTCTACTGTTTTACCCTTGTCTCGTTCTTCCTGATTTGTGTCTAAGGCCCAAGATAAGTACCTGAAATAATTTTAAAATAAGAATAATACTGGTAAGTACATGAAAGTTTTAAAAACATTCTTCTACCAACATTTAAATCATGAACAAGACTGGGTAGAAATAAAAATTAAATGACTAAAACTTGTATTCTTGTGACTCAAACACTCAGTGCTTTTATATATATCCAGTGTCAATTATATATTCCATAAGCAAACATTATGTATGAGAACAAGCTGATAACAAAGAAAGATTATTTAGTACCAATGCCAATATCACCATGAGTTAAGTAATAATAAGTTCCTTTATATTTCATTTTAAAAATCATCTAGCACAAAGTATAATACAAATAAGGCTGTCTAAGGGTATCTTTCAAAAGTAAAGGCCACTAATCCACCATTTGGGAGCAATGGTTACTTGCTAAAAATTATTTTGACATTTCTTCGCTATATAAGAATTACTTATATAAATTTAAACCATCTCTAACAGTAGGTGTTAATTTAGATGACATCATCTGTATTTCATAGTAAGTAATCCATTTTTTAGTGTTATACTGATTAGGATTTTTTCCCTTAACACAGAAATACGATTAAAAAAAAAAAAAAGACCATCAATGTCCTATTTAGATAAAGCTTGTTAACTTAAATAAGGTTAGAAAGAAGAAAAAAAAGCTGACCCTTTCTCTCACCATGCAAAGGCAACCACTGTCAATAATTCCGTCTATTCTTTTTTCATTATTCACATAATGATCATACCCTAAAGTACTATTATGTTACCTGCTTTCTCCCCAAATTCCACTGTAACATCAGTTCTATTCCTGGTTCCTATAAATTCTATAAATGAAATTTTAGTGGCCAGGTAATGACTTAATTAAATAGATGTTTTATAATTTATCCCACAAGCCTCCTATTATTATCCTGGATGTTTGGATATTTCCAGATTTTCTCTGGGTAAAGTTATGAAGTCATCAGGAACTGATCTACTAGGTAGTATGAGGGGAAGGGAAACTTTTCCTTTGTTATGACACCATTTTAGACCTCATGAACTTACATCTTAGTAGACTACAAAAGCATTAAGTAGGCAGAGTTTCCTTAAAAGTAATTTATAGTGTCATAAAAGTTTACCAAGTTTCTCTGTTTTTTTCTTTAGCTTCTCTTTCATATTTCTCAAGTGTCCTCTTGTCTACCATTCCAGTCAAATACCTGAAGATGTTGAAAGAAAAGAGAAACAACATTTAGTTACTCGCAAATTATTCAGTTGTGAAGTGAGGAAGCCTTTAAACCTCTTTTGAGGGGAATTTGAACTCCACAAAAAGCTACTTTAAAGTACAAGTACCACTGGGGTAGATGTTGAATTAACGTTTCAGTGGAAAAGATATTTACAGTCTCAAATTACTTCCCCCAAGATAATGGGGAAAAAAATAACTTTCCAGTGGAGAATTCTGGCAGACAACACCTTAACTAAGTAGTCATGGCTATTATCACCAGTAATAAATAAAACATACTGAATACTGCTATTTTGTGCGCCCTGATAGGATGCTCTGTTAAGAGCACAACATACCTTCTGTGACATTCTTATCCAAAATGCATACCCTCAATCTAATTGTTAACATCAGTCAAACCCAAATTGAGGAACATCTCATAAAATAACCAAATAACACTCTTCAAATTATGAAGGTCATGAAAGACAAGACTGAGAAAATGTCACAAGTTGGAGGAGACTAAGGAGACGTAACAATTAAATGCAATGTGGAACTCCAGAACAGAAAAAAACGACACTGGTGGAAAACCTGGTAAAATTCAAGTTAAGATCTGTAGTTTAGTAAACAGTATTGTGCCAGTGTTAACTCCCTAGTTGTGATGATTGTACTATGGTTATTTAATATGGTAAAATTAGTTGTATAGCAACTCTGTACTGTTTTTGCAACCTTTCTGTTAAGTCTAAAATTATTTCAGAATAAAAGTTTAAAAAAGCAAATGTAAATACTGTATAAAAGAAAATAATTCCAACTGTTGTCCAAGCAATTATATCTTACTAATACATTTCAATATTTAATATTTTAAAAATATTAGTCAAAATGAGATTATAAATTTTTAAATAATTCTTTAGTAATACCTAACTGCTTCCCTTGACTCAATCCAAATCAAATCCTGTTCTTAGCTTTAGTCTCTATGTGGTGTTCTCTGCAGAGTCATCTACAGTGCATACTTCTAACCATTTTGGTATAGAATCTTGGTGAAATGCCAATGAAAATTCCAGCCCATAAGCAAAAAATATACACTCTCCTAAAACACAGCATCAACTGGGCCTGTCACTTCCTTCCACAGAGCCTTAGGTAATAAGGATTCCTGTGTAACGGCCTGCTTTAGGGTCTGTTGTGGAAATTTTCAAAAGTAATTGGCAAGATTACTGATTAAGATTACTTAACAAGGCAAGACAATGAAGATATGCCCTCTGGATCCTCTGATGACACAGTTTAAAGAAATGAGTCTAATTTAGGAGAGATTAAAAAGACATTTTAATTATTTTTCAATTCTAGAACACATCACTAAAAGTCAACCATGGCATTTTCATACTTAGATACCTTCTATATGTGTGATAAAAAAAACTATTCAGCATGTTAGCCAGACTGTCTGATTAAATCCACATATATTCAAGGAGTTGATGAATGAGGAAAAACCAGTTCCCCAGATTCATTATTCCCAAGAAAATCATATTTAAAGCACACTAAGATTTCTTATAATCTAGGGTTCTATATTTTTATACACAAATCTAAAAGACAGCTATTAGAAATACATTTAATGTTCCATGAGAGTCTTAAGATATTTAACAAAAAATATACTTACATTATTTGTCCTCCAATGGTTGACTTGCCAGCATCTAAAAAGTAACATCATCAACAACAGGCAAACCACAGGTGTAATAAAAACAAAACAAAACACCATCACTATATAGGAATACAACTAAAGTGGTTTAACATCATAATTACAGCTTGCAAAAGCAACTGCAATGATAGAAATTTGGGTCATAAGCTCTGGTTAGTCACCTTCTCCCTTTGAAGCTAAGACCCCCTGCAGCTCTGCAGTGACTTAGCGCTACTTTACTGATAAAGAAAGACTTTAACAGATTGCTCCTTGACCTTCTGCAGCAGCAACAGAATATGAATTACCCAAGAGGAGCCTCGAAGGAGAACAAAAGTAGCCAAAGACCCATGAACTACATTTAGGTAGTCTGCTTTTTCACTTTTAGCCAGTATAGATGTTCCTTTACAAATTTCAAAGGAGTTCTTGCTACTAAAAAAAAGTAGAACGGTGTATCGTCAGGGCAAGGCAGAGATAAGATAAAGGGAAGTAAAAGGGGCACATAATTCCCTTATTTTCTTCTCACTTCTCTCTGACAAGTGAGATTGGCAGAGAATATCTGAATAAATGAAATAGGGTTTTGTTTTGTGTGCTAAACCAGCAAGCTGACAACATCCAGAAGTTACTCCAAATTATTCATTTTTTGCACACACAAAATTAAACTACCTAGTAAAGTTAATACCGCAAAATCAACTGGAGTTCACACAAAAAATATAGGTACATTTTCTATATTAATTAACAGATGTCGTAATATGTTGAGCCATCATCAGTGGTCTATAGACCAGTTACTCATTACATACAAATATACTGAAGCTTATTTTCTTCCAGCTTCGATGCCATCACAACCTTCAAAAATAAAGCACTGGCAATGTCTTGCCAGCTAAAAAAAAAATCTATTGAGGGCTTCCCTGGTGGCGCAGTGGTTGAGAGTCCGCCTGCCGATGCAGGGGACACAGGTTCGTGCCCCGGTCTGGGAAGATCCCACATGCCGCGGAACGGCTGGGCCCGTGAGCCATGGCCGCTGAGCCTGCGCGTCTGGAGCCTGTGCTCCGTAACGGGAGAGGCCACAGCAGTGAGAGGCCCGCATACCGCAAAAAAAAAAAAAAAAAAAAATCTATTGAGTTAAAAATCAAGACATTTTAGGGCTTCCCTTGGTGGCGTAGTGGTTGAGAGTCTGCCTCCCGATGCAGGGGACTCGGGTTCGTGCCCCGGTCCGGGAAGATCCCACATGCCGCGAAGCGGCTGGGCCCGTGAGCCATGGCCGCTAAGCCTGTGCATCCGGAGCCTGTGCTCCACAACGGGAGAGGCCGCAACAGTGAGAGGCCCGTGTAACACCAAAAAAAAAAAAAAAAAAAATCAGGACATTTTAGATTAATTTAGTTCAGTTTCACGAAACACTTCCAAGTAGCTAAATAAGATGTTCTATGTTTGATGTACCCAATAACTTTGGTCATTTCTTATCACTGCTATGAGTACAACTTACCTACATGCCCAATGAATACTACATTTACGTGTTCTTTCTTAGGAGCACCTGGTGGTGCAACCACAGATTTAGGTTTTGGTATTTCCTCTTCCTCCTCCATCATTTCCTGGGCACTTTCCTCTGTGGGCCTTCCATCTCCCAAAGAACCACCCCCTGGCTCTGCTTCACTTATTTCTTCTTTGTGCTCCCATGATTCTTCTGGGGACATTTCTGTCTCCCCGTTTTCTACTGAAATAAGACATTTTAGCTTAGTATTCTGAAAAACGTTTATCATCTGTACTTTAAAACACAGATGCTTTCAAATAACAAATAGAACTTAACATATTCAGTTCCATTTCCTAACCTCTAGTGACACACAAGCAAGAAAATCTCTTTCACAACAGAAATGGACAAGCTAGCCTCCTCACTGCTGACATCAGAGCTCTGACTCAGAGACTAGAAGAGACTATTTTAACGTAGCTTCATCTTCATAAGGACAAACAAAACATGAACAGCAGATCCAACATTCCTAACAGCCCAGTTATTCCATCGTCAAGATGTCCTGACAGTAGAAGAAAGGGGAAGTTCCAAATCAGAATAAAAAAAGTGTGAAAAGATTTAGATCTTTTCTTTTTCCTCTTCAAGTAACAGAACTTTGATATCGACGTTATTAATCACCTTGGGAATATGAAACCCTTAAGGGTAAGAACATTACAAAAAAGAAGAAAATTTTCACAAAGTAAATGGATCAAGTACAACTATTCAAACTGACTTCTGCATTTCCTCCATTCGATTCTTTTATATTTGCCATCAATAAATTTATCATGGGGCTTCCCTGGTGGCGCAGTGGTTGAGAGTCCGCCTGCCGATGCAGGGGACACGGGTTCGTGACCCGGTCCGGGAAGATCCCATATGCCCCAGTAGCGGCTGGGCCCGTGAGCCATGGCCGCTGAGCCTGCACGTCCGGAGCCTGTGCTCCGCAATGGAAGAGACCGCAACAGTGAGAGGCCCGCGTACCGCAAAAATTAAATAAATAAATAAATTAATTAATTAATTTATCATGGCAGTATTAATGCCCAATTAGTTCTGTTTTCTAAATCCTAACAGCAAAGATTCAGTTTTAAATGTAGGCATTATAATAAGCATAACACTTACATTTGTACCTTAAATCTTGAGAGTGAAAGAGTTTCATATTACTGTATTAATATGGTCAGAAATTTTCTTACCAACAGCTTCTGAAAGTTCCATGCTAACAGCTGAATTTGAACCTAGACAAGAAATTGAGATATAATATATATTTACAAAATAGTATCTAGCTTTACACACCACAGACAACTTAATGTTTTCTGAATTAGATGTTCAAAGAGTCACATCATAGAAAATTACCTTCACACAACAATGACTGTTCCTCTTGAGAAGGTTCCACAGGTGCTGTTTAATAGAAATAACTTCTATTAAAAATTGAGACCTATACATCCATTTTACATACCTTTTAAAATACAGGAAAAATAGAAGTTCAATAACAAAACAAAACCCTCAATAATTCAGAACAATGGCAACTAATTTAGGCTTTCAAATTAGAAGCCTCTGTTTAACTTACTAAAAAATCTACCCATCACAGCCAATTTTAAAACATTTTCAGTAACTAAAATGTATTCACAAAACCATGTTTATTCTCTGAATTTGCTTCATAAACTTTTCCTTTACAGATATTATAAAAGTAATCTGCAGCCCAGCACAGATCAAATAAGTAAGATTCTGCTCAACAAATACACATTACTTCTATAGATTCTCCCTTGGTAGCTCTAGCCCAAGAAGGCAATGATCAGTCCTTTTTAAGATTCTATAATCATATGTATTATCAAGATCCTTGAATAAATTCTATTCAATACCAATAAAATTAAAAGGACATTCATATAGTCTCTGAAATGCATATAGGCCCTTACATCATCTCATAAAAAGTGACTACAATGATGCCAGTTTTGTCATATATTAGAATTCTAAGGTCAAGCAACAATCCAGTTTCCACAAGTGTCATACTGCAAATCTTATGACATCACTGGAAGAGATGTATGTGAAATATACTCTAATACCCCAATACATAAGTTTATTTTTTATATCTGATAAACCTAAATGATACTCCAATATCTAAGTACTCTTGCTTTAAAGAATACACAAGGGCTTCCCTGGTGGCGCAGTGGTTGAGAGTCCACCTGCCGATGCGGGGGACGCAGGTTCATGCCCCGGTCCGGGAAGATCCCACATGCCACAGAGCGGCTGGGCCCGTGAACCATGGCCGCTGAGCCTGCGCGTCCGGAGCCTGTGCTCCGCAAAGGGAGAGGCCACAACAGTGAGAGGCCTGCATACCACAAAAAAAAAAAAAAAAAACAATACACAAGATGCACAAAGACATCAAAGAATTTGAAGTCACATTAATCCTGCACACCGATAAAGAATAACCTGCAAAACTCACATTTAAAATCATTGCTCAGAGGACACAGGGAGGGGGAAGGGTAAGCTGGGACTAAGTGAGAGAGTGGCATGGACATATATACTCTACCAAATGTAAAACTGATAGCTAGTGGGAAGCAGCCGCATAGCACAGGGAGATCAGCTCGGTGCTTTGTGACCACCTAGAGGGGTGGGATAGGGAGGGTGGGAGGGAGATGCAAGAGGGAGGAGATATGGGGATATATGTATACGTACAGCTGATTCACTCTGTTATAAAGCAGAAACTAACAAAAAAATAAAAAATTCTTAAAAATAAAATCAACACTAATATTATTGTATTATGGAATAGAATCTGGAATTCTACAGCTGCAATTTTATTAGATCTAAAATAACTGAAATACATTGTTGATTTGTGTGAAAAAAATAAAATCATTGCCCAGAAAGTATTAACACCCATAAGTCAACAAAATTTTGGGCCCAATCTTCAATAACATGAAGTGCTGAAGAAAGTAATTCCTGGGAGTTCCCTGGTGGTCTAGTAGTTAGGATTCCAGGTTTTCACTGCCATGGCCCTGGGTTCAATCCCTGGTCAGGGAACTGGGATTTTGCAAGCCAGCACGACATGGCCAAAAAAGAAGAAAAAAAAAAAAAAATGTAATTCCTATCCCTGAAAGGTAAAGGGCAACCAATTTTTTGAGGAAAGAAGTGACATACCAGCCAAGTGTTACTTAGGAGGATCATTCTATGGTAGTGCATAGATGAACCAGAGAAGTAAAGACTACAAGGCAGAAAGACCAAAAACACTACTTATAAAAAGTATGCCATCAGGACAAATAAGCAGTACAATTAGAGGAGGTGTTAAGTGCAAAGATAATGGGAGCAATATCTGACAGGAGTAGGAAGAAAGGAAGTATGAAAAGTCTAAGATGACCCCAACTTATGTGGTTAAGCAGGGTATTTTAACAGAAACTGGGGGGAAAAATCCTTTGAACTCAGTTTGGAAGGTAACAGGAATTGTACTTCAGACGTAATATACTTATTTTGTTTTCCTATTTAAAAAGTTTATAGGTAAGATAAGGAAAAACTACTCAATTTTCAGAGAAAGCCAGGCAGTGCTATAAATGAATCAAGTTCACATACCACCCTAGGGATGGAGGAGGTGGCACAGGGTAGTAGCAAGAGGGCAAAACTGAGCTGACTCCTGGCTTTAAATCCTGGCTTGTCATTTATAAATTATGAGATACAATTATTTCACTGGAATCATGGAAATGGCATGCCATCTGCCAGACAAGATTAAATGAGAGAATACATTTGTATAGTATCAATTAAATAACTTGTGGCACCTAGTAGATATTCAACAAATATGAGTCTCCACCTCCAAACATGACTGAGTATCAATTCAATTCTATCAGCTAACATGTACTGAGTGTCTATTATGGGCTAGACAAGGATAAGAAGCACTCACCAATCCATACAGTGCTGGAGATGGGGGTGAAGTTGGTGGCAAATTACCCTAACTCCAGTTAATTTTTATTGAGCCCTTATGTGCTAACTGCTGTCTCATTTAATTCCCCTGAAGACCCTATGAAATAGATAACTACTATCTAACGTATCAGACTCAACTGGGCTTTTCCAAGTTATGTTAAGTGCCATCTTGCCCTTCCTCAGACAGCCCCTGTTGAAAATCACTCAGAAAAAGTAAACCGAGGGCTTCCCTGGTGGTGCAGTGGTTGAGAGTCCGCCTGCTGACGCAGGGGGCACGGGTTCCGGACACGGGTTCGTGCCCTGGTCCGGGAAGATCCCACATGCCATGGAGCAGCTGGGCCCGTGAGCCATGGCCCCTGAGCCAGCGCGTCCGGAGCCTGTGCTCCGCAACAGGAGAGGCCACAACAGTGAGAGGCCCGCGTACCGCAAAAAAAAAAAAGAAAGAAAAAAAAAAAGAAAGAAAAAGTAAACAGAGTAAGTGATGATGTACAAATATTTTAAGGCAGGAAAAGACTGAGATAACTGGTATGGTGGACTCTCCTGTCACTTATTAAGATGACCCAAACTGCAAGTGAGCAATGAAGTAGTACATACACCTGATCACCTAGTTCTAGAACCAACTCTTAAATTTACAAGTATACAATACGTGCATTAGGCTGTAAGGAACTTCTCATGACAGTGACATCAGTCATGAAATCACCCCCATGGATGCATAATGCAAAATTTGTTCACGGTTTTTCAAAATATCTTAACCTTTATAGTATGTTTGTTTTAAGTTTATAAAGCTTACAGAGTCAAGTACCAAAAGCAATTAAATGCTTAATATACACCTCATGATATTATTAAAGGGGCCCCAAATAAGAAGTTGACCATAGTTTTCCCATAGTGGAAAAAAGCTTTCCATGCATTCAGACCACGGATAACATAAACTTAATGGCAATGCTAGAGACATCTGCAAAGTGATAGATGTTTTTGGAATAATGAACCAGAAAAATCACAGATATAATAATAAGATGTTCCCTAAATTTAAGCTTCTCAGTATAGTTGTAGCCAGTCTACACACACACACACACACACGCAACCCCTTCTTGTTCATTCTACTCTGGTCTTACTCAAAATGCGTATCACATCCAGATTTACTGGCTACTATTGATCCTGGACTTAGAATTCTACTAGGCCCAAAGTCATTTGTTTATGGTTAGCAAACAGGTGACTATTAGTGCTTGATTTCTCAAGTCCTGCATGGTTCATATCTGTTAGTGAAAGAGAAGTAAACCTCCCAAGGAATGAAATTATGGTTTCGTATTTTCCAATGGTATCTCCATGTTCAGAAACATAACCTTATCAAGTGTTCAAAGGAATAATTCTAATTAAGTAGGAAAGTTATCAGAGTGTATGAGTGAATAAAACTGCCACACCCTAAGTTAAAAAGAGAAGTAACTGTGGTAAAATTATTACCACAATTTTTAAAACAAGAAAAGATTTTACCAAAAAACAGTCGGGCAACAGTATTGACTGTGGTTTAACACAGATGATAATCTGGGTCTTAAAATTGCTAGTTAAATTTGATCATGGTGAAATAAGCCAGTCACAAAAGGTCACATGTTATACCATTCCACTTACAAGAAATATTCAGAATAGGTAAATCCAGAGAGGCAGAAAGCAGATTGGTGGTTGCCAGAAGCTGGAAGGAAAGGGGAATGGGAAGTAACTGCTTAATGGGTACAGGTTTCCTTTTGGGGTGATGAAAATATTTTTAAACTAGACAGAGGTGGGGACTTCCCTGGTGGCGCAGTGGTTAAGAATCCACCTGTCAACGCAGGGGACACGGGTTCGAGCCCTGGTCCAGGAAGATCCCACATGCCACGGAGCAACTAAGCCCATGCGCCACAATTATGGAGCCTGCGCTCTAGAGCCCGTGAGCCACAACTACTGAGCCCATGTGCCACAACTGCTGAAGCCCATGGGCCTAGAGCCCATGCTCCACAGCAAGAGAAGCCACCGCAATGAGAAGCCCACACACTGCAACGAAGAGTAGCCCCCGCTCGCCGCAACTAGAGAAAGCCTGCGCGAAGCAACAAAGACCCAACGCAGCCAAAGATAAATAAAATAAATATATATATTAGAAAAAAAACTAGACAGAGGTGATGGTTTTTACAACACTGAATGTACTGAATGCCACTGAATTGTTCACTTTAAAATGGTTAATTTTATGTTATACGGATTTCGGCTCGATTTTTTTTAAAGAATATAAAAAAGTTTTTAAAGATTTGATCATGGATCAAAGGACTTCAACATGGAGACTCCTATTTTGCCAGTTCACAGTACAGCACAGGTTAGTCAAGAACATACATGTGTCAGGTAATGAAAACCATGTTTTAATTCTGGCTACATGTTTTATTTACACAAACGTATGGCCAATTCTTTTTTTTTTTTTTTTTTTTTTTTTTTGCGGTACGTGGGCCTCTCACTGTTGTGGCCTCTCCCATTGCGGA